ATGTCGTTCTCTTTTGTAGGCTGCCGTGTGTTCGTATGTGGAGGTCAGGCCACCGAACTGTCGGACGAGAGTTTGTCACGTCGGTTGATTAGTAGCATTCTCGTTCGAGCAGTGACGGGCTTCGGCTCAATGATCTACCGGACGGGGTGTGAAATCTCCTCAGGCGAGGCTTAGCCTGTTGGCTGGCGGAGGGAGTACCACTGCATGCGGACAAAGACGGAGCCTCGGAGGCAATTAGTAGCTTCTCGTAGCATGGTTTTGGGAAAGGCTGATTCTTGTCGGACCGATGGAAGTGAATGCTCGGACGACTGACTTTGTCTCTATATTTAAGCACTCGAGGTAACCCTCGGTGTCGGTATGGATGTGCAAAGCGGCAAGACGGGATGGGGTATTTTGGGTAAGGAGGAAAGGGCGAATGTCGAGACTTTGGTACCGCGCTCGCGACGGTTGAGTTGCGCTTGAGGTATGGGATAAAACTCTACCGATAGTATCAGCAGAGAGACCATATTGGGAATGACCGGTGAGGAGATGATCGGCCCGTATGTGAGGTTGCCTGATTTTTTTTATGTGTTTCCCCTTTGTAAAAATTGATTAAGCCTGGACTGTTGGACGGGACATATTTATAAGTCTACCCCCCCCCCCCGTCTAAGTCCACACGAGTGAGAGACGATCGGAAGGAAGGAGGATAGAGTTCAATTGGAATGGAACCAAGAGAAAGAATATGGGCAAATGGATGGCCGGCCGAGGGAATTATAGGACGGGGGTACTTAGGAAAGGGGAGGTAAAATAGGAAAACCTTGATGAGGGGTCTGAAATAATTCTCATCTAGGACAAGGGTTGACCTGACCAAAAGGATCGGTTGGTGTCTTTTTATGAAAACAGGGGTCGGTTGCTGAAAACAAGATGGCGCGATGGTTGTCTTCCCCGATCTATACTAGCAGCCCGGAAATGCCAGTAGATGTAAAGGATGGGGTATCGGTCGTCCTCTCGGAAAATGGAACGTGGACGGACCTTGAACCAGCGTATCAAACGGTAATGCTTGAAGGAAAGGATGCTTTCCTTTGGATAGAAACAATATGGACTAATGTCAGCCTGACGAGGTTGTCGCCAAATTTAATGGATTTGGAATTCCGAGGGACAGTGGAAGCCTGGGGGTGGGTCTACTTGTCGCAAGATGGGGAGAAAGCTATGATCATAGAGTTGGCACTCGGGAATACACCGAACGAGTTGTTTAGGAAGGCAGAAGCAGAGGTTGTGTGGGCTTCATGTCAACGGAGGTAAATGAAAATGGAAAAGGTAGACGTACGGGTGGAACTTGGGGATAGAGGAAGCATGAGGCGACCCGTAAGAACCATGCGATGTGTGCTGCCCTCCTTCCTAGTGGATGCGGTTTTTGGAACCCGGAGCAGGCTAGTACGGATATGCCAGTCCATGACGAACCTCGGGCTATACCAATGCGCTAGGCAAGATTGCTTTCGGTTATCAGTAGAGATGGGGCCGTTCGAGGGAAACTGGGCGGAGGAGCTGACCGAGATACTAAACTGCCTTAGCATAGACAATATCTTTGTCCCTAGCATTGTGCATTGGGGGATAGTCTACAGGAATGTGGCAATAGGGGAGACGTTTCTAGATGGGGTAAGGGAGTTGGTATACGACGAGGAGGACGACTTCAGTGATGAAGACGAAGATGAAAAGATAGAGGACTGAGACTTCTGAGAGGGGTGGGGTAACTTAACTTAGGAAGGACGGGTGGCCTGGTATTGTGCAGGAAAAGGAAAGATGACTAGAGAAGAAAGGATGATGGAATACACCTTCAAAGGTTGGGAACCACGACGACTTAGAGGAGGAATAGAAATGCCTATACCAACAGGGAACGGATGGAGAGGGACCACGTGTGACTGGATTGGGTTTGAGGTTGCCCGATACTTGTCATATGTATGGATAGAGCGGATTGGAACCCGATAAGGGAAGAGGAAGGTTGGGATGATATAGCAGAAGGCAAGGTAGAGTCAGTCGGAACGATTGTCCTTTCCGAGGGTGGATGACACCTGTTCTGCACTATGTTAGCAATGGGACAGGACCCGATGTGGCTTCTAGGGGATGCAGAGGCCCGAACCTGAAAAGAAGGCAAGTGGTTCGCCAACGAGGGGTGGGACGAAGTCAGTAGCAGAGTTGTGATGGGAGGATGGAAGGAACTTAAGCCTCCAAGTCTACGGATAACGGCTTGGGTATCAGAGTTCATAGTCGAGTGGTTTGGAGGGTTTGAACACATTTTGGAAGTAGCCGACTCCATGAGAAAGGTGCATATAGAATGTGTCTAGCTAACTGAGGAGTTTTATAGGCTCTCATTGAAATATGGGCCCTTCTACGGAGATAAAGCCGAGGAAGTCATCATCGTCCTAAGAATAGGCAGGTATGACCGCCTAGAGGTAGAGGCGGGGTCCTGGGACGCCATAGTTAGTCGGGAGGCGGCGGCCGCACCCTCCTACGTAGACGATGTCTTTAAAATATTTGAGGTGCTGTGGTTCGACTAAACGAGAACGAGGGATCGATCACCGCGAAAAGGCCTGAGTGTGGAGGGTGCTTGTGAATTGAGGTGTAACATAAGAAAGGGAATGTATACAATAGGCCGTAGATGGTGTATAAGGATCGAAACAAGGGGGAAGTGGCAGCAGCTGGAAAAAGGGGGCAGGGGTAGAATTGTATGTGTATGAGTCGTGGATAGCGGCAAAAACCAGTGTACGATAAGTTGGGAGGGCTGAAAGACTAAAACACGAAAGGCATGGAATCTTGGTGGGTGCAGCAATCGGACTAAGAAAGCAGGAAAGGAGACATTGCGAGATGGTCCGGCGAATGACGTTCTGGGAGGATAGACCTCGTGGGATCCTGCCACTAAGAATATCAGAGGGAAGGGTTGAAATAAGCCTGCGGGCAAGAAATACAGTAGGCAATCCGGTAATGGACTCAGTGGGGGTAGAGTTGGTGGAAGATACGGTGTACCTAGTAGTAAAGCTGGAATGGCGTGCGAGAGGGGAGTTCGGGGGCGTAGAGTTGAGCCGCCCAGGGCGTGTACATGCGACAGGATCCTTACACCTGTCGGAAGAAGGATGGAGGACCTTTGGGATTGCCTTGGCTTTCGGGGTTGACCCCGTGCGAATGTTCGAAGGGGCATGGCAAATAACCTAGCAGGAGGGGTTTGAGTTTGCAGACCCGGAACGAGATGACGTAATGGCGGAAGTAAAAGTCGTCGCGGCGAGGGTTTTTGAGCTGCCAAATGAGGTCATACGGATGAGTCTATCACCCTTCCTGCTAAGACAAATGGGAGGTATAGAACGAGTGGAGCAGGCGGTGACTGCCGTAACTAGGCTAAATTTTGACGAAGCATTAATGTATCGAAAATACTATCGGGACTTTCTAGAGATGGGGCCTTTCGGGGACGAACAAGGGCGCGAGGTACTTTGCATTCTACGAGCAACGGTAAATACTAGGCCAAGAGTCCCACAAATAAGTGAGGAGACCATGTGGAGAGTCATCCGGCGAGAGGTAGGTCGGGGCGCGACCTACATAGATGATCTTTACCGGTTGTACGAACAGCCAGAGGAGGCTACTGCTCCCGGGGGTATAGAGGGATAGTTGGGACTAGAAAAAAAAAATGAAAATACGAAGGGCAAGGGAGGCAGTAGGTGGGCGGATTCTGAAGATTGGCTGTAACCCTTTCTATGTGGACTATGCAGGGAATCACCAAGGTAACAAAATGGCAGCAAGACGTGAGCGAATGGAACGCCAGCCCCATGTGCGAATGGAACGTCATCCCCGGTACCCCGGACCACCCTGGAACAACGGTGGACGATGGGAAGTATCCCTCCTGTCGAGTTCTACCTATCGGGGGTTCGACACAGAATGGCGGGCCGTTACTTTGGGAAGGGACGCCGCCTTCATGTTGGTAGAATGTCGGTGGACAGAGATGAGACTCAACCGAGGACCCGGAGACGACTTGTTTTTCAATCTGGAAGTTACCGGGACCATGTATCTGCCTGAGATCGSTTGGCACTCGTTGGGGGTAGAGATAGCACAAGGTCACGAGYTGGCRCCGGTCTTTCRAAGGGCCGCCCGGACGTTGAYCCGGATAGGACAWTCGGTCAGGGGAARAAGGAACGYGGGCTTRCTWACCSGGGTGGAAATGGGAGGTTGGAGGRAGTTCAGGGCACYGACCACACCGMTGAGATGCCGAGTGCCCCGTTTTATGATAGACCTCGTCTTCGGAARCCTCGCAWGGGCGCRGGAGCTGGCAGACTYARCGATAGTCTGGGCAGGCCACTTTCCCTCCCCTACCATTGGGATGTTCTACGATGTCGCTGTGGAGCACGGGCCGTTCTAGGGAAACAGGGCTCACGAATTACTAGAAGTCATCCACATCCTGATGTTYTGTGCGCCCCGGCTAGAMTGGACAGGGTGCGAACSCATAATCCAAAGGGAAATCGARATAGGGGAGAATTATCTAACGGGGKTGGCTCAACTATTCGAGGAGCCTACCGAACCAGAAGAGCCGCGAGGGCGAGAGCGGGATTAGCATCCGCAAGCGGGTCAATAAGGCAGATCGAGTATAGTTCGCTAAGTACGGAAGTTCGCCGATGGGAATAARAAWGGGGSCYYMGRMC